TGTCAGGTCTCTGGAGCCTTTTTCAGTCCGAGGAATTTCAGTCTTTAATAGCATTAACATTTTCAAAGAATAGGATTCTCCACATTCCTTTTGAAAATAGAACATCAAGATGGCTCAGTGGGTAAAGACACTTGTTGCCAAGCCTGACCCAGGACCTACACAAAGGAAGAAGAGAACCAACTCAAACAAGTCGAGCTCTGATTTACAAGTGTGGCACACATGGGTAGTACATGTGCATATGCACAACACAATACATAAATAAGGCAATCATTTAATTCCCATATAAATTGACTCACGAGTTGCTACCCTCCTTTTCTACACGTGTAACTCTGGCCTATGTGATTTCAGTGAAGAGCTAGGGGCCTTATGAATATGAACTCAAATACACATAAAACCCCTCTGTGGCCACTTCTATTTATTGCCACTTGCTGAGGAAACTGAGGCCAGACAGGTGAAGTTGCTTGCCTGAGGTTCAACAGTCAGTGAGAGACAGAAGCAGGCTTTATCCCCAGGGCTCTTAACGCTGTGCTCTGCTAGTTAGAGAGAGGGCCTTCCTCCCAAATGGAGTTTCATAGCAGGGAACAGAGTGGAAAACAAAACAAAGAAAATAAGGTAGGCAATAAATGTTGTGGAAGCTTAGAGGAGAGTCAAAACTCACGTCCTACAGCACGTAGCATGTCAGGTGGGTGACTGGATCTGGAAACACAAGGAAAAAAGGAGACAGTACTCTTGCCTTCACAGGATTTGGGATTAGGAGCAATCCACCAGTTACACCCTAACCTCCATAAGAGATTTAAGCATAAGAAATCTTCCTGTCTCAGCCTCCCGGGTAGTTGGTTACGGTCATATCAGCTTAGCAGTGATTCTCTCTCTCTCTCTCTCTCTCTCTCTCTCTCTCTCTCTCTCTCTCTCTCTCTCTCTCTCTCTCTCTCTCTCTCTGTGCATGTACAGCCATACACAGCCTTTTTTACATGAGTGCTGAAGATATGAGCCTGGGTCCTCGTGCTTGCACAGTATGCGCCCTTACCCAGCCAGCCATCGTCCCTGTCCCAGCAGCGATTTCTGATTGGAGTTAGAAAACAAGCAGCAAATGCATAGATGGATGAGCTCCATGAAAAAGGCCCTGGCCCGGTAGATTCAGGCCAGGGGCCTACGAGGTACCAGCTTTTCCTGTCCACCAAGAGACTCCTCAGCACTTAAGCCTGGGAGACTGACCTTTGCAAGTAGAACAGTAAGACTGAAGAAGGGGCTTGAGCTAAGAGTTCAAGGTCAAATAGGGGCCCAGATCTTGTAGCACAGTAGCATAAGAGCACCGTTGAGAAAACAAAATCAAATATCCTAGAAACCTGTTCTACCACTGAGATACAGTGTAACTTAAACCCCACCAGATGGTCCTCAGCTACCAGCTAGCCAATGCCCAAGCCTCCACTGCTGCACCCTAAGATCACTGATAGACACATCCTTCCAGGCACCTGACTCCTGGCTCTTCCCACAGGAGCTCTTTCCAGGTACAGGGCCATTGCAAACCTACCTCTTCTTCCTCCTAGACAACCATCCCTCTTCTTCCTCCTAGACAACCATTCCTGGGCTAACTTGTTGCCTTTGTACTTTTCACTTAGCTTTATTATGTGCTTATTTTTCATTTTTGTGCTTTGTTGACATTTCCCAATAGACTAAACTCAAGCATCCTGTAATTGGGGGAGAAAGGTATTGATTTTCTCTGTTTGGTGATAAGAGGCTTTTTTGTTTTAAGAAAGAAAATAATATTTATTTTTAATATAAATTCAGTCTGGTTTCTGGCTCAGGATGTGTGTGTGTGTGTGTGTGTGTGTGTGTGTGTGTGTGTGTGTGTGTGTGCGCGCGCGCGCGTGTAGGGTTACCATATAAACAAAGTCTTGTTGCTGACTCAGGAGATGTATGTGGAGGGCTGTCACAAATTTCCCTTCACAAGATCACAGAACAAAAGTGGCCACTCTCTGGCGAACACTCATTTAGACCCTGGTGCATCTCTCTGTGTAGCGATATAAGCCTGGATAGGAAGCAGGGTATAGGGTTGAGATACCCAGAGAAAGTAGCCTGCCCCCCCCCCCCCCGGGCCAGAACCTCAGACAAGTGGTTTAGGCTGCCTGGCTTCAGGGTCCTTCATGGTGCCACACAGGTAACAATAAACGGAAGCTTCCTTGGAGGGCTCAGTGAATTCAAGGAGTTAATTGTTGTGATGATCTGGGCAAGCATCTGGCCCAAGAAGAGCTGTGTGGAGGATTATTAAGTAGTTCCCGCCATTGGAATTAAAACCCAAGACTTCGGCTGCTGAACCTCCCAGCTGGTGTTCCAGTCCAGCTCTCTGGGAGCCCAACTTTCCTGAGAAGCGCAGGCTAAGTTACTGGAGCAGTGGAAGAAGCTGCTTCCCAACAGAGGAAATGCCCGAGGAGAGAGGAAAAACACTTCCAGGAAACTGATGGATGGAGGTGTGGGTCAGGGGAGAGAGAGATACCCAGCTCCCTTATGCTGGGTCTGGAGGACACATTCAGGCCAGGACCACCAGGGGGAGGCTCTGGGAGCTAGCCTCTCCTTCTCTGCAGGCAGTTAGGATTAGATATTGGAGACCCCAGGGTGGTTTTCTGCAAACACTCTGCTTATGTACCCATAAGGGCTGGCAAGATGGCTCAGTTAGTAGAGGTACATGCACAGGCCCAATGATCTGAGTTCATTTTCTAGATCCTATTAGGTGGCAGGGGAAAAGTGACTCCCCAGAATACTCCTCTTGCTTCGACATTTGTGCCATAGTGCACACACGCACTTGCGCGCATGCACACACACGCACACACACACACTCACACTGCACACACACATAAAATATAGTAAAAAAAGAAAATAAAGAGGGGGCATCAATGATCACTTTGTTGGGATGGTGAAGGTCTAGGCTGATTACCTTTTAAATTTTAATGTGAGTGGTACTATAGTTGGGGGTTATCAATAAAGCTTACATTATCCAGACAAAGATCGTTTTATTTTTATTTATTATGGGTATAACCAGGTGTAATGGGATGTCTATAATACCAGCACTCAGGACTAAGAAAGAGAAGCATTGCAAGTTCAAAACCAGCCTGAGTTACACAGTGAGCTCCAGGTTATCCTGGGCAACACGAAGGCTCTGTCGCAAACAAAATCAGAGAAAAACAATTAAGTAGCAATAACTGTTACTATCATCACTGGTGTGGTTAAAATGTTAGACTGGCAGCAATAACACTTGCCTAGCATGTGGCTTTGGTTCAATTTTGAACATCATAAAAATTATATTTGAACACACATAATTGCAGGAGTATAATGAAATAGGTACTATACAGATTTAAAATATTTGGTCAAAAATATTTGTTCAGATGGAAGTACTTGTTAAGGTTCAATGGACTCATCTTGGTAATTTATTTGTTATATGGAAGTAGGACAAATCACATAGCAATAGCAGCTGCAATTTAAGAATGGATTTGTCCTTTAACAGCTGCATCATCATAAAAAAAGGCTGGCGCAGTGTCTCCTCCTTGGTTCTCCTTAGTTAGAAGTATAAGTTCAACTCATCTTGATGTACCTTACTCTGCATGTGCCAGTACAGTGTTTAACCCTTTGAGTAAAGTGGAAATGTCTTACATGTTAGTCTTTGGATCTGAATCCTCCATTCTTGTAATCTCACTGCTATATTCAACTAGATATAATGAAACCGAACAACACAGATAGAAACAATGCTAGGCTGAAATGTGATGGTGTTAGGTGAAGAGCAAGACAACTGTTAGCTGAACAAGCAGAGTGAACAGTCTGGGCCTTGGGTAAGCAGTGTTTGTCTTCATGCCAATTCCTCAATGGTTAACCTTCATGTCACATATTGGACACTAACAATTTAAAATGCATGCACCTGCTAGCTGGAAGATGATGTAAAACAGCCATTTTTAGACTTTAGAGCATGAGTCAAAATTGCACCCAGAGCATGTTCCAGGACAGGCAGCCCCATGCTGAGTTTCTGCTCCTATGCATTTTGGGGATAGCCAGGATAACCTGGCTCAGAGACTGCAGTCTGAGAACTGCAGAGTTAGAGCAAACATCCCCTCCCCAGGAGCACCTGATGGCCACCGAGGCCCCAATTCGATATAATTGGATTCGTTTTAAATAGGCCACCTTAAGCAGTCAGATCTCCCAAGTACTTTGAGCATTTTACAGGCCAAGAGAGACATTGCTTCATTATTCCTCCTCTAGAATTAAAGAAAAACGCTTCAATGACGGAGATGTTAGAGCTCTCTCAAGTTAATTAAACATAGCTTTAGTTGCATGTTTCTGACATCTTGATAATTAAACACATCTAGATTCACCGGTGTTTGCCAATGGTTTTATGAAATAATTGAAAGTATATCCTTCATGGAGGTTTGTCATTCCCTGGGATGCCCTTGGACTGGTGGGGAATGACCAGCAGGGGGCGCTTGCAGTCAGATCATGGCCCAGTTCTGGGGTGCAGTCGAACACAGAAGCTAAGGTGCCGGCTTTAAATCCTCAAAGTAAGGTTCTCTTAACCACTTGTCATAAAACACCCTGAGACACACATCTTGGAAAATAGAAATGTCAAGCTCAGCATCTTCGCCACATTTCAAGCCAGGTAATTACCTTCTCTCCCAAAGGGAATCTATTTTATGTATTTGTGTGCTTTCTAGGTTACAAGTTTCCCAAAGGCAATGATCTTGCTGCCTTCCACTCACTCCACGGAATGCCAAAGTGAAATGCACATTTTACAATAACAACTTAATTATTCCACATCCCTCTGAGCTATGTGATGGCCTGTTATATAATTGCCCGTAATACAGAAACCTATATAAACCTCATATAAACCCTGGCAATAAATGGAAGCTTTTATTTGACCTAGAAATAAATTGCTTATTTACTTCACCTTTCCAAGAGGAAAAAAGCAAACCATTTCCATTAGTCCAAATTGTAAGTTATTTCACATCAACAACACTGCATTTTAGCTTGTCATTTTATTAAGTCTCCAAATCGAGGTTTGTTTGTTTTAATGACACACAACAAATACCTTGATATAATCTAAGATAATAAAATAGTTGAACAACTTTGACTTCTTAGGATTTACATTTGTATAGAAACAATCTGTGGGGTGCCTTGCTTCAATGAAGGTGTCTAAACCAGTGAGCCATCAACATTGCCTTAAATATTTGTTTGATTGAAAGATGTGTACTTCATTCCCAACTGAAATGTATTTCCATGCAGTTTCCCCTGGCCCCAGTGTTTGAGGCCATGGGAAAGTGATCAAGAAGAAAAGAATGACTCTTCTCTTTCTTTCCTTCCCTAGTATGAAGGACAGTGGTTAGAATAGGGTTGTTCCAAAGCCAGGAGGAAATTAGTTGCACATCTCTAGTTCATAAATGCCACAGCCACACCTAATCTATACCCAACACTGCCTATCTGGGAAATCCTATCATGATGGCACAGTGCATGCTGGTCCCCAAATATTTCCTCCACTAATCTTGTCAGTTACTATGGTTAGTCTGTGACCATAAATTCTCTCTAAGGGCTGGTCCTTTTGTCACTGAAGCCTTTGCATTATGTCATGTGGATGCTATGTCTTAGTGCCCAAGGAGAGCCCACAATCTCCTAAGAAATGCCTCACCCACCCTCAGGTTCCCAAAGTGCCTAAGAATGAAGACCCCCCACTGAGACAGTGTTTTTCATCGAACACCTCCTCAGGGTGCCAGGGACTCTGGTCTAGATCATCCCATTGATCTTAGTCCACTCGTAGATATCTTGTTCACACACTATGTCGGAGTTGATGAGAAGGTATCTGTCACCTACACAGAAATGCTTCTGACAGGCAGCACACTTGAAACACTCCAGGTGATACACTTTGTCTTTCACTCGCATCGTCATCTCATAGGCACGGATCCGCTTGTCACACGAAGCACAGAGACCGTCTTGACCAAAAAGCCTGGGGCAAAAAGGAAAAAAAAAAAAGGCTAAGAGACAGGGGCGGTGGAAACAGACAGAAGGGACTGGTGATTGGCTCTATCTAGCAGGATTTCACACAGCTGGGAAAAGCTGGACCTGATCAGATACAGTGGTGCACATCTGTAATCCCAGAGGCTGAGGCACCAGGATGGCATGTTCCAAGCAGGGACCGGGATGCCCAGTGATACACTATGCCAAAATGAAAAAACAAACAGAAAATCTGATCCCAGATAATTGTCCATGAATGGTTTCTTGAAAGCAGAGAGCGTAGGCTGGGTAACACTGGCATTTTATTTTCTGTTATTCCTCCCTTCCTGCTTTTAGCCATGCTTCTAGGCTGCATGGACCAGCTATGGAAGAGATGTAGGTGAAGTGGCTTGTGAGAAGAAGTTAGGCATGCTGTACGTGTCCCTTCCCCAGAGGGACTTTCTCCGTGGAAAAGGAGCTGAATCCAGCCCTTGAAGGGGTAACTCACCAGGAATGCAATAAAATGGGCATCATTATGAGGCTCCCAATTCTATGACATCATCAGACACTAATTTCACCCATTGGGAAGTGTGCCTTGAGTCATCTCCCCTTCTCTCAAGTTGCAAAGTCCATGTCCACATGACCATTCACTGGAGCCCCAGCTGCCAGGAGGCAGGAGTATCCCAGGAGACATGTAGTACCACTAATCATGCCTCAGAGACCCAAAGGACAAACAGCATCTCTCCACGATTCACAGAAGATCTTCATTCATGCTCTTTCTGTCCCCCTAGCATGACTCTCTGGAGAGATCACTTTTCTCACACCTAAATCAAGTTTCTCCTCAGCCTTGGTGCACCCGCCACTTAATCAAGCAGCATTTAGCATTGGGATGGGAGAGACAATTTAGCAGGACCCAGTGCAGTCAAGGGACTAGCAGCATCAGCAGCATCCAGGAGCTTGTTAGAAACACAAATTCCCAACTATCCCTGTACCTGATAGAGACACATAAGAGAATGCTCAGCATGCTAATGAAGCTAACGATGGCTAAAGTTTAAAAATGAGCCTGTCCGTAAGAACAGAAGAAACCAGGACAAGGACCACAAGGAAGTTTGGCCTTGGATGTCTCTGAGCCATCCTCGTAGCTACCTTGCTCAGATGCTAGTGCAACACCTAGGGCAGGTCAGAGCATCATAGACCCAAGACTGAGCTCAACACTGACTGTGTGAACACATCCCAGGTGTGCTCCCAACGCTGCTGCAGGGTTATTTTCACATGGGGCTTGTTAACACAGCATGTCAGCTTGTAGCTTCCATGTAGGGCCTTTATGACGGCTTCCGGTAAATGCTTGTTCTCATTAGACGTTCTTACCAACTTACAATGTGAGAGAACTGACTGGTGCATCCTAGGGGAGGTAAAGGTAGTCACCAAGGTTTGCCACATTTGGTCAGAATGTACGGCTTATAGGAGTACATTCTGTGAGTAGAAAGTGAGTTCATCTCTCTTCTGGATCCGACTTCCTATGCTGGAAGCAGACTCATCAATGGGGGAGAACAGTCTGTCCCACAGGAGCAATGGCAGAGCTGTAGGTAACTCCCACATTGGAGGCCACAGAGCAAAAAGTGCTCTGGTGCCCTGGCTGTTCAGTAAGTGAAGCGTGGAGCTTAACAGAACACATAACTGAGAAAACGTTATGCACCGAATGAACCTGACTGTCTGAGGTGTGCGATCCTTAAGGAAGGAGGGAGCTTATTAAAGGGACGTCAGGAAGCAAATTACAACACATCAGGAAGCTAATGAAAGGACAAAATACCAACATTCTGGAGATAAGCTCTGGTCCCGGAGTTACCTCCAACTAGCTAGGTAACCTGAGCAAATGGCATGTCCTCTCCAGGCTTGTGTGTCTTACGCTGTAAGCTCAGGTCTAGAGGCATAGGTCTGGGCAGTTCATTCAGTCAGGTACTCCAAGATGCTAACAGTAATGGAAATAAGCCAGGACTGTATTAATCTCTGGCTCAGAGAATCCTTGTATTGCATGGCTATCGCAGAAGCAGACCACGGGTGAGCATTTACATTCAAGTGGTTTATGATGTCTTCAGGAGAAGTGGGAAAGAGGGGAGGGAGTGGAGTGGAGATCTCAGGTGTGCAGACTCAGAGGAAGCTTTGGTCTTATGTCTGGGGACTCCTGAACCAAGTGGCCGTTGATTCCCTCTAAGCTGCAGGGACTTGGACTCATCTGAAGTATGGGTCATTGGCACCAGGGTCTGGTGAGGCTGCATATTTCTGGCTACAACAGGTGCTGGCTAGCTGTAGATGCCAATTGTTGAAACATAGCCATAGGTTATTGCCCCATATAAAGTTCATGAGAATGGGGGTCCATGGGGATCTGGGATGGAGACCCACAGAAACAGCTGCTGAGACACAGTGTAACAGTAGCAGGTTTGAGCTGAGGGCCTGGATGTTTGAGATTGGAAGTTTTAAAAGGACTAGAAAATAGTTAACCATTCAGGGCCCTCATGGGGAAGTTGCCCTAGGGAAAGAGACTGGACCTCATTGGAAGATCCACCGAGTCATTCTGAACTTACCCTGATAAATCAGCACCAGCTATGCCAAAGAATTGAAGTAAACAAGCCCGTGGCTAATGGACCATCCCTGAAGAAAAAAAAATCCCTCCTCTGTCAAGAGGTGTCAGCGCCTTAGGCTTTCTGCTGCCCATTTTAATAACAATAATATAAATATTAAAGGGTGGCTGGGAAGCCTGCACTAATGCAGAGTTAATTAACATGTTGCCTGGGAATGTAGCAGGGAGAAGAATTATTTCGTGTCACCAAGACACAAGTTAATTAACACTGGGCTCTCCCAGACTATTTTTTCCTCTTCTTTTTGAAAATGGAAAAGATTAACAAGCCCAGGCAGCGCTGCCTTTCTTCGTGAATGCTCTATAAAACCGTGGAGATAGGGAGGAATCGGCTCCTTTGACCTTACTGTATCTGACTTCGTTTAATAAGATTCAAATGATTCGACAGAGATGGAGGAAGGGGCCCAGTGGGAATCATTTACCCAGCTGCTTTCTGACTGATTTGGCAGACCTGGAGTGAGTAAAACCAGGTCTGTATTTATCTCCATGCTATCTTCTTATGACTGAAAAAAGAAATTCAACAAAATCACAGTCAGGTCTTCTTGCTTTCTTTTCTTTTTGCCAAAACCCAGTAAATTTGCAATGATTTCCACCAAAGGATGCAGGTGTGTAAAAGCTAATTTAGTCTTCGGGTGACCAAATAAGCTTCCTTCAACTGTGGAATTACCAGCAGTTTTGTTTTTATTTCACATGTGCAATGCCCTGAGACCAAATACAGGAGGAAGGGCCACCCCAGCAGTCATGGGCACTGGAGTCTAAAAGCTTCTTCCACGGGCTAGGTGGTCCTAATATATTGGGACTGCATGCTCGGTGGACCCTCTGCCACAGGACGATGACAAAGAACTGTCAGCTGAACAGTGGAGTGATCTGACAGTACAGGGCACAGAGTTGCCTCCAGTGCAGCTAACAGAGAAGCTAGAGATGCTAGAACATGCCAGGACACTCACATGGAGAAGAGTATGCCCCAAGGTCAGTCTCACTTGGCCTTGTACACTTCTTATTATACCCTTCCATGCTCCCATCGCCCTGTCCATTATATTCTAAAGTAATTTGCAATACCACTGTGACATACGTCAGTTATAAAAACAGTTAACATCTATTTCTTAAGTCATGTACCAAGTCAAGCATTTCATTTTATTATTCTTAACCATAGAAGTAACTACAATTACTACACCCATTTTATAGACAGGAAATAGAGGCTTGTGTCCAATAGAGGCTTGCCAAGGCCATAGCACTAGGAAGCTGTGACTCAATCCTCCTGACTCCAGGGTCCTCACCCTTTATAGCCACTAAATGCCATCTTCCTGCTGTGAGACTCAGTGCTTTGAGATCATCACCAAGAAAAGATTGTTATTTTAAAAGTTTGTATCAGTAATATTGGAGTCGTGCAAAAGAATTTCTAAATATATGTTTGTTGAGTATTAAAATGAGGTCTTAAAAACCCACCCCAAAACTTATGAGTGAACTCTCTCCCTACCCCCAGTTCCCATGATATTCCGTTTCCCTATGTATACTTCTCCAAACCCTATCCTTTGGTCTACCCCCCAGAATTCTGTCCTTGTTCTGAATTCTGTGTTTGTTCTTCTCTTACCTTTAAAGACACGGGTGATTTACCACACAGGGATGCGTTTCTCTGCATCTGGCCACAGCAGAGGAAGAGCTCATACCCCTCTGTAGAGGCCGCTGGGGCTCACCCTCTAAGACATAGTCTTCTTGGGAAGGCACCTCAGAGTCAAAGCAGGAGCTAGAGACCATGTGTTCAAACCCAGATGTGCCCCAGGAGTGTGGGGAAGGTACCTGAGGTAGTCTCTCCTGCACAACTTCCGTCCCAGCTTGTAGTAGAGGCGCCGCCCCACCTCTCCCAGCCGGCACCCACAGAGGTCACAGCTGAGGCAATCCTCGTGCCAGTACTGGTCGATGGCTTTCAGGAAGTAGCGGTCCCCTATGTTCTGCTGGCAGCCACCACATGTCAGCAGGGATGGGGGTATCTGCAGCACCTCATCCACTGGTTCCCTGAGGAGGAGGTCAAGCATTAGGGATAAACTCACCGAAGAGATTCAAGCAACAAGGTCCCTGGGATAGCGCAGTGCCAAATGGGGAACCTCACTCTATTTCCTTCCAGCACTATAAGGAGAAAAGATCCTCCCTATCTCAGACTGCAGAGACACAGCCATCCTTGGAGAAAGATGGGGGCGGCAATGGGGTGGGGGGGGGGACGGGGATGGAGCAAGCTAGAGAGAGACTTAATCATTTGAAAATTTGAAGACAGGATACCAGAAGGTGTCCAAGGTACCTGCAGGTGGCGCTGTAGCCCTGACTATATTCCAACACCATTGTGGGGGACCCCTCTGATCTCGCCTTCTAATTTTCCCTTCTGCTCTCTTCTGTCTTTCCAGTTCTCCCTCCTTTTCTTCTTTGGTATCTAGGACATAAGCACTATCAAATCCCAGAGAACATAGTTGGGACCAAAGGAGCTGCTCACAGTCAAAGCATCTGATGACCCAGTGTGCTAAGTAAGAATCTACAGATAGTCTGTTGAATTTACCCTACTGAAGCCCTTCCTAGTACACAGAATCAAAGGGGGGAGAAGGAAGGAGAAGGCAATCAAAATTATATTGGGTTGCCTTCTCTTTCCAAACTAAAAAGTTCCTTCAATATCTAATTATTCCAATTGAAACTGTCCATTCCACCCAACTTTCTCAATGAATCTTTGGCTGGAGATTAAGCCCCATGGTTAGAAAGAAAGTCTAACATGTCAGAGGCCCTTGGTTCAAGTCTTCAGTATCCCGGTCAATCCAGAGGTGGCAGCTGGAGAACCAGACTTTCAAGCTCATCGTCAGCAAGAGGCCCAGGGCCTCATTAGACTCTGTCTCAAAACAACAGAATACAAGATCTGAATGAATCCTTGCAAAAAAGCACCCAGAATACAATGCTGTTGTTATACAGAATAGAGGACACCAACTAGATTTTTCTTTCTTCACATACTTACTTTTGTAAACAATAGTAAAAGTGTTTTGAATAAAGTTAAACTAGTAAAAAACAAAAACAAAAGTGGAGAAAGGGGCAAACAATGATCTTAAAGGAAATGAAAGGCAATGAAATTGATAGCAAAATCTCGATCCAGGCAGTTTGTTCACAGTGAGCCTGAGGGAGGTGGCTTTGGAGGCAAGGGTGCTCGCTGTCAAGCCTGGTGATCTGGTGTGGGTCCAGGACCCACAGAGTGGAAGGAAAGGGCCAATTCCAGCAGGCTGTCCTCTGACTTCTACTTGTGCACCCATGCATACATACATACATACAGACAGACAGACAGACACACACACACACACACACACCTTGTTTTTTGTTTTTTTTTTTGTTTTTGTATTTATGAGACAGGGTTTCTCTGTATTGTTTTGGAGGCTGTCGGTCCAGCCTGGCCTCGAACTCACAAAGATCTGCCTGCCTCTGCCTCCCGAGTGCTTGGATTAAAGGCATGCGCCACCACCGCCCGGCTGCACCTTGTTTTAAAGTCACACATAGGGCCTTCTGCTTGCTTTACCTTCCTGGAACCTAAATATTTCTGTTTTACAGATAATAACTTTTCCGAGAGAAAATGGGCATGAAAGAACAGATTGTGACATCAAATAGGAGACAGGGTACAACTCAACACTTGCTGATTTGTAATAATTAACCAGTGCTCTCTGGAACCTTATTCAAATAAAACCTACATTTAAAAAATATCTAGTTTTTTTTATTTTAAAAATCGGATTTCATTCTTACTGAGAAATGCCCAATGATGTTCTCTTGGGTACCCTGGGGCGATAAGTCTGTGCCTCTTACTTTTATTTGGCACTTGTACCAAGTGACTTTGGGCCTAATTGGCCTGTACCCATGAAATGCAGCCCCATTATAATTAGGGACAGTGAGACTTGGGGAAGGAGTGTTTATTGGGCATTCCAACACCTCCATACCATTAAGAATCTACTGTAAATATTTAGCTAAATGCTAACACTAAATTCATCGTTTTTGCATAAAACATAACATCACCTTCTTTTAGAACCAGGAACTTCAAAGTTTAGGCCAGTTTCTTTGAGAAAACAAAACAACCAAATCAAGTCTTGGGGTTTGCTGTTGTTTTTTCAGTGCTAAAGATCAAACTAGGTCCCTATTCAGGTCAGGCAAGTGCTCCTCCACAGAGATTTACTTCTCAGCTCTTTGTGTTTGTATTGTTTTTAAATTTTTATTCTTAATTTTATGTCTGTGTGTGGGTATGTAAACACAAGGGCAGGTGCCCCAGAAAGCTGGAGGTGTCAGACACCCCAAATTGTGAGACGTCTAATATGGGTGTTGGAAATCAAACTTGGGTCCTCTGTAAGAACTGGAGATGCCCCTAGCCACTGAGCCATCTCTCCAGCTCCCTTATTTTAGTTTTTTAAAAGGTGTGTGTGCAAGTGTGCATGTATGTGTGTGCACATGTGTGCATGTGCACACGCAGGGCATAGGACAACTCTCAGAAGTCGGTTCTCCCTTTCTACCATGTGGGGTCTGAGGATCAAACTCAGGTCATCAGGCTCAGTAGCTGAACACCTTTAGCAACTGAAGCCTTACAAACCCTTCCCCTCCTTTAAATTTTTTGAGACAAGATCTCATTAAACTGTCCATGCTGGACTGGAACTTTCCATTCTTCTGCTTCAGCCTCTCGTGTATATTGGATTATGGGTGAGATGGGCTAAGATCCTAAGGGTTTCCATCCCATCTGAAAGTCAACTAAGATCCTTGTCTTACTCAAACTCATCAATTCAGAATCAACTCTCTTCTCACCGCATAGCTTGTGGCCTTTCTTTGGGCTTTCAAGAACACCCACAGAACCTCCATCACACTAGATGCTAATGTTATTACCAGCCAACTTTGAAAGAGAAGAATTTGCACTTATCTGGAATAAAACTCCCCAGGATTAAAATGACCCGCAGGGAGGCAGGAGGGATCCCTGCCTGCATGGTAGAGAAAATCTATGTTCATGAACTCTGGCTCCCCGCATACATGGCCACCTTTGCATGCGCCTAGGCAAGGGCCAATCTGTGTTTGGAAATGTGATGGTAAAGGCTGGCTCTGCGCAGGCAGGCGCACAGTGAGGCAGCTGGAAGGTGAGTGAACAGCAATAGAAAAAGACAAGATGGTCTGAGAGCAGATAAGGGCAGGACAAGATACTGACTCCATCTGTCTTTCTATAATTAATGATGATGTGACATTATCTCTGGTGAACAATGCAAGCCAAAGACTGAATGAGATTCACCTCAAGTTAATATTTGACTTTCACCCACCAGCCTATCCTGAACACGGCACTGGAGGACCTCTGTAGTTTTGATTCCCAGCAACGTTTCTCAACAATTTCCCAGGAAAAGGGGGAAATGTTCTGTTCCCACCTGGCTTGTCCATCTTCCAGGACAGCCTTCCTTCCCTGGGCACATATTGCAGACTTTCAGCAAACTTCTTGGACTCACTATTACAGCCTTGAGATACCTTTCTGTTCTCTAGTCTCCAAAGGGTGGTTTCTGTTCTTCCAGAAGACCCAAGTTGGAGTCTGCACCCAAAATGGGTAGCTCACAACCACCTGTAACTCCAGTTCTAGGGGATCCAGCAACTCTGGCCTTGGGGGGGGGGTGGCACCTGCACTTAGGTGCACACACATGTACACCTACTTAACAATAAAATCCTTTTATTTATTTATTTTTTAAGGAGCGGAACTCTGTAGATTCGACTTCTAATAAAGGCTGAGTGGCTACGCTGTGCAGATAGGAAAGCAGTAGACACGGGTTTGTCTGACTCCCTTAGGCGGAGTATCATGTCTTGTTCAATCTCTGAAAACTCAGAGCTCAGATGTAACACTAAGTTTATTTTCAAAAGAGAACAAACTATAGACGCCGACTTGCTTTTTAAAGGGCTGTTATTTTTCTCCTGAGATTTTGAGGAAGCCAGTCTTTATGTCAACAAACCTAGCTCCTTTCTGAGCTGGTGTCTCAACCTTCAAGACTGAAGAGTGATGTTTATAGTCTCGCTGGATCGTGGGACTTCCTGTGTTTTATGAGAACATGCTGGGTTTTTATGCTGCCAACTGAGGGTAAAACCCAGGTAAATAAACACCACAGAAGGCTGAAATTGAAGGGGGGAGGTGAGTAGGGGAACTTCAGCAGGAAAGAACAATTCTTTTAAAGCAGGAAAAGGAAAAAAAGCCACCAAAACAAATGCTGCTTACAAGCACAAATGGACAAGTCATTAGCCAGCTCCTTTGGTCTTGTGTTAACAAATCCCTTCAAAGGATTAGATGGAGACTTCAAAGGAATAAAACGCAAAACCAGACAGCTAATGACTCTTAAAAGGGCATTTGCGAGGACGCAGAAAAACGATACCTTAAGCATTCCTGGCTCCCCTTGTTAAGGCTAGAGAATGGACTGGGGTATGGACTGGGAATGGGGGGATGTTCTTTGCAAACCAGCGCAAAGCTCAGAGCACAGACAGTACAAGCTTATTACAGCTCCGGTTCGCTAACCCCAAGCCCTTCTGAGAGTTCGATGGGATTCTGCTCCCCAGAAAAATAAACCCAGACAAAAACAAAATAAAACAAAAAACAGTGCACTAACTTTCGAGGTTCGCATGCCCACACTAGAAGACTCGTGGGAGGGGCGAATATGTACCCGGAGGAACTCAGCATTAGCTAACCTAGACGTCTCTGGAGACCTGAGTTCCCAGAGGGACAGGCGGACCCCATCAATGCCCGCAGCCGCTCTGCCCCGGGCCGGGTAGGAGACTGTCTGGGACCCCAGAGACGTTCTGTTGGAGTGTCTCACCTTTTCAGGGGCAAATGGACAAAGAGAAAGGGAACCCGGAGGAGCGAGAGGGGAGGAGGCAGAATCCCTGTATCCACTCTCCCTGCACTGCACCTGCGCCTCGGAGCTCCAGGTGCCTGATTCTGGGCAAACTTTCTGGCCCCTGGGAAGGTTTGGAGTGCTTTCCAGATAGCCCGGAGCGGCTCGCAGGGTCGCAGGGCAGATCTCTGTTACTGCTTCCGCCACTCAGTCCCTCTCGGTGTCTCCAGAGTCACCCGAGAGGCAGGGGGAGCCCCTGCGACACCGAGGGACCAAGGGCACGCTGCGGGTGCGTACCTGAAGTCAGCCCCTCGTTCTAAGCCTGGGACCCGGTAGGATGGGGGGGGCGGGGACAGAAGCGCCACACTTACTCAGACGGGTCCAGGCTCTTCCTTTCGATGGCCGAGGACATTGGGGAGGGAGGCGGCGTGCCGGGTGGCGGGGGCGCTCCCTTTGTGGCGCGTGCCTGGCCGGCTGCCTGGACTCGGACCCCCTCGGGTGCTCGGGCGCCGCCGCTCCTGCGCCTCCTCTTGCTCGGTCGCTCCGCTGGCGAGCTCGCCCCTCCACGCTCAAGGACAGTCACCGCGCTCCCTTCAAACGCCAAAGAGAGAGAGCGAATCAGCCGGCTGCCCGGCGCGCGGTGGCCGAGTTAGGGGGCCGGGGAGCAGCCCGGCCTCCCTCTGGCGGCTGCGGCAGCTGCCGCTACCCAGGACTTAACCTTCCATCCCGGTCCCGCTGCCGTCACCACAGCCGCCGCCGCCGCCCGGTCCCGATCGCGCGCAGTCGCAGGCTCCGCCCGGCCGCCCCGATCCCCTCGCACCTTCGTCGGGGTCGGGGCGCCGAGGGCAGAGAGGGGGGCGGCGGCCTGGGGGCGGGGAGCGGACCGCGCGGCTCTCCCCGGGCTCCCTCCTCTCTCGCGAAGGTCTATTTTCGCTCAGCTTCCCTCTGTCTCTGGTTTCATTTCCTTTTTCCTGATCACGATTCAAATACAATAGAAGGAAATCACATTTAAAGAGACAGCTGCCCGCCCCCTCCCCTTTTTTCTTCCTTTTTTTTTTTTTTTTTAAACGGGGCTCCTGGGGATTAGCAATCCAAACAGCAGCAGCAGCAGCACCAGCAGCAGCACTGACTTAGCTTCTTAAAGGGGCCCGCATAGGAGACCGAGAGTCTCCCCTGAGAGCCTCTCCAGGGGCAAGAAGCCGGGCTGCCACTAATTCGTCCTTCTCAGGGTTCCCCGTCTTCTGCCTTTCCCTTTTGGTTTCCCGCTCCAGCGGGAAAGAAAAGACAAGAATGTGAAATAGCACCTGCAGAAATGTAAGCGTTCCTAGTGGCTGGCTCGCGCGCGCTCGTCGCGCTCGTCTTAGGTTCGAGGTCCCAGGTCCACCGTCGCGGTGCTCTGGGGTGCCCGGGACAGCGCGGTTCTGTTGCAGCGAGCTAGTGGCTGTGACTGCGTTTCAAACAGGGCATGCGAGCTGTGCGATTAGGCACCCCACGCGCCGGGTGCGCCTGAGCAGTGCTGGGGGCAGCTAATCCCGCGGGGAGGGTGGCTGGGAGGGATCACACTGTCCAGGTCTCCTCTCCATCTGCTGGCCACAGAATTCCCTCCTCAGCATCTTTCAAAGAGCGGACTCCAGCGGTAAAGCTTGCCCTCTCTGTAAAGTACCAGCAACACTCTCACCAGAAAGTGCCTTTCCAATAATCAAGGGCCTTACAGTTATTACTTGCTATTTTTTTGCCCTATGTAAATCAAGGAAAAGGACAGGCTTGATCTGGGGTTCAGTCTTCTCCTTCAAGCTTTAAAGCAAGTTCTAGAAGGAGAAAGAAATGCAAAAGGGACGAAGAGGATTCTAGCTAGCTACTCTTCCCCTGGGCCTTGACTTCCTTGAAACTGGCTTCAGAAATGATCGTTCAAGGCGCGTTAGCTTATGATGGTGCCAATCTTGAGGCTTGTAAAGAGGAAACTCCCAAGTGCTTTCACAATCCATTGTTTTATCAAGGTCATAGGCATTTCAAGCCCATTATAAAGATTCTTTCCAGCCTAGATCAATTCACCCTGGAATATGACTGCTGAAGCCAGAAGTGAATTCCTGTATACTTAATGTCCACGTACAGAGCCAAATCCGCATTGATTTCTCACTAGTAATAACACACAGATTCATGTCATTTCTGTCTCCATATCCTGAAATTTGTGAACTCAAAGAGGATAATTAAAATCTGTGTCTGTGTGCATGCCCTTGTGTTGGTCCAAAACCCACCTTCAGTATATAAAAAGACCATTTCCTATTTAGATCCTCATTTTTTTAAATTAAAAAACAAGTATCTTTACAATGTTTAGGCAAGCCTAAGCTATATGATAAATATGTAACCTGTTATACTACTTTAATTTCTATCTGAAGTGAAAATAAACACTGGTTGTGGTGGCATAGACCAGGAATCCCAGGAGGATTAGGAATTCTAAGACATTCTCTCTCCTACCAAGTTTGTTAAAGACCAATCTGGGTTACATAAGATGTTGTCTCAGAAATGAAACCAAAAGAAGAAAGAGAAACAATGAAAACACATGGATTGTGATTAGCAGTTTATCTACTTAACACCAAGGCTTTAGAACCAGATTGCTTGGGGTTGATTTAGACCTTTAAGGGCACATGTGACTGGGAAAACTGCCCTCAAGACACAGTGTGGAGAGAATGGCTGAGGGTTGTGATTGTATTTTAACCTCCCTTTTACGGCTGTGTGAACTGGGCTGGACAGCAAGAGTTAACATTCTCAGCATCCTCATTAGTAAAATGGGAATAATGGAACTTACTGACTTGAGGGTTTGGTGTAAGGACTGGCTGAGCTAGGTATGTCAGTAACCTTAGTGACAAACAAATCAGTGTGTGGTGGTGGTGGTGGTGGTGGTGGTGGTGGTGTGTATGTATGGGTGTGTGTGTGTGTGTGTGTGTGTGTGTGTGTCTATCCTTGCTCCAATTTTCCATGGGGTTGGAGTTAGTTATTAAAATAAATATCTCCTTGGACTCCAAGAGGTAACTTTGGAATGGCCAACTCCAGAGCATAAATATTCTTTTAATAAGATCCCTCTGCTTTGACCTGAGTCTGTTAAAGGGAAAAAAGAGAGGCATGCATGCAACCTTGGGTCCATTTCTTATCTCTCACAACTCTTGGGGGAGAGTCTTCTTCGAGAAGGTGCATATTTGATATGATATCTTAAGATTTCAATTTCACACACAGTGGCTGTAAGAAGTTACTGCCTACTGGTGGGACTTCATTTCTATTCTATGGGCAATTAAGTCACCCAAATTTAAGTATAACATTTAGAACTGAGTCTCAAATGTGTTTTTATTATGACTGATTTTAAAGCAATCATGGCCCTATCATATCTTCCTAGAGCAACCAGTAACTGCCCTGTTCAGGAGCGATTCAGCCACTCTGAGGCCATTTGAATGTATAAAACGTTTTTTGAGAGCTAAAGACCTTCTCTCTTGATCCCTACCCAGCAAGGTTAAACTGTAATTTCTGCTCCACCCTAAAAAATGTTAAATATCCTCAAGTTTTGACATTTTCCAAATTTTCCTTCTGAAATAAGAATGTCCGAAGTCTGAATCAGTCTGGATGGTAAATGTGACCCCAGTTGGATTTTTTTTTCTCACTGGGAATTTCCTTTTTTAATTTTCTTCTTAGTACATTTACAATTATTTTTTTCAGGGAAGAAGCTTCTCAAGTGACTATGACTATTTTTTTTTCTAAAATGGTAAAATGGACTTCTGGTAAGAAAATGCCAACCATGACTATTTACTTTTTTTTTCTTTCAACCATTAGAAGCTGAGTTGCAACATACATCTTGTTAGTTGTGAAAGTCACAAAAATAAATATATCTTTTGATATGATTTCAGCTCACACGCAAAATTCTTAAAACATTTATTTGCCACAGGCATCTGACTTCCAGCCAATCAAGACACAGGTGAGACTCCAGCATTTGCAGACTCATTTGGGAACATTTCAGGGGCAGCTAGTTTGTCAGTAACCTTAGTGACAAACAAATCAGGTTTTGTAGGAAAAGGTCTCAAATGAATGGTTTTTTTTTTCTTTTTAATCCCTATCAACTGAGCCCTAGGTGAATGGACACTGGAGTTACATAGACCGAACTCTGATGTGTAGTTTGGGAGAAGTTACTTTACTTCTGTGAACCTCAATTTCTTTATCTGTCACATGGAAGTTCCATAAAGAAGTTCCATAGGGGATAGAGCAGGGTCAATGTCACTAGGTTGCCAGTTCATCTCATAGGGATTTTCTGTGGAATAATATGTGCAAAAATGCTTTGCACAATGATGGTGCCTAGAAAATGCTCAGAAATGATAGTGGTTTCTATTACCCCATCCTTCAGAAGCAATCATCACCACATCAAGAAGCAGCAATCTTCCAGCCAATCAAGACATCAGCCAGACACAGCTGAGACTGGGGTGCCTCAGGAGGAGTTGAAGTGAGACTTCAGCATTTGCAAAACTTCAGGCTAGGGATCCCCATGTTTAAGATAATAACCTAGACTGTGCCCATCAGACCTGGGATGACTGATGGCAATTCCACTTTCCCTCGTTCATAGTATGCTCCAGTCACATCCTGATTTTATCCATCCACTTCCTGCCTCCCAGTCATTTCCAGAGTCACCTTGGAGAACTGAGAAGCCAATAGCTAAGGATTTGAATCAGCTAGAAAAGTGTGCGTCACACAAGCACGAGAACTTGAGTTTTTGTCCCAAGCACCACTGAAAAAGCTTGACAGCGTCTACCCCAGGGCTGCGGGGGATCCCTGTGGTTTGTGGCCATACAGAGTAGCCAATCAGTTAGTTCTAAGTTCAGTGAGAGACCCTCCCTCAAAAAAGAAGGTGGAGAGCCATAGATGAAACACTCATGTTACCCTCTGGCCTTCACAGGAACAAATGTATATATATGGTGCATGACGGAGATGGGGGTTGGGAAAGAGGGGAGAGGAGGCCAAATTGGGTACAGAAGAGACTGTCCTAAAATGTCAGTTCCACACAGATCTTAACAGACCCCTACTGGAAGGCATCTGAGAAATGCCGAGAAGTATGGTTTCCTCCATGCAGCAGTGGGAATGTGCAGGGTTTCCTCCTGGTGAGCTTTCCATGCTTCACCCACAGCAGCTCTGCCTTCATTGACCTTTGGCTTGTGGTCCAGCCTCTTTGCTCCTTGGCGACCACATCTGTACACTGGGGCTTTCAGAGCACTGTCTCCTACTGTCATTACAGGACTCAGTGAAATGAGCTTGGGGAGGAAACTGGTGCAGACTAAGTTTCTATAGAACTTTGGAGCCATTGAGAGTCATCTTTTTTATGTTTGTTTGTTTGTTTTGCTTTGTTTTGTTTTTTGACACAGGGTTTCTCTGTATTGCTTTGGAGGTTGTCCTGGACTTGCTCTGTAGACCAGGCTGGCCTCCAACTCACAGAGTTCCAGCCTGCCTTTGCCCTCCGAGTGCTGGGATTAAAGGAGTGTGCCACCAACGCCTGGCTGACAGTTATCTTTAATAGAATGCATTAAAAAAGAGTCAGGCTTCAGGGGATGGCGAGATGGCTGTGGTTGGGAGCATTGGTTGCTCTTCCAGAGGTCCTGTGTTCAATTCCCAGAACCACATGGTGACTCACAACCATCTGTAATGAGATCTGGTGCCCTCTTCCAGCCTGCAGACATACATGCAGCCAGAACACTGCATAAATAATAAATAAATAAATCTTTTTAAAAAGTCAGGCTTCAAGACAGTTTTGAATGTCTGTTGATGACTCAAACCCTTTAACAGACTGTGCAAATGAGAGTCGAGTGCTCCTTCTCCTACTGTGCTTTGACCCCTTCCACATTAGATTTGAGTTCCTTGGCTGCTCCAAGCTCAAGGTGAGCCAGAGCTGGGTAAAGAGACTCACAGAGCTGTCACTGTGTTGTTCCTAGGAACTCTTCTCTGAAGCTGTAGAGACAGCTAAGTAACACACCACAGTGTGTGGGACCCAGGTTCACCACATTTGGAGTCCAGATTCCTTTTTTATTCACTGCAACAAGCCAAGCTGGCTCCAACTGAGGGCTTACATTGCTCTCCCCTCAGCCTGAAATGTCCCCTCCTCCCTCCCTCTCTGCCTGCCCACTCTCTCTTTGTGTATGTGTGTGTGTGTGTGTGTGTGTGAGAGAGAGAGAGAGAGAGACAGAGACAGAGACAGAGAGAGAGAGAGACAGAGAGAGAGACAGAGAGAGAGACAGAGAGAGAGACAGAGAGAGAGAGAGAGGTAGCCTGGGCTTACTTAGACTTGACTCACTATATAGATGATAATGACCTTGAACTCCTGATCTCTTTCCCTCCCAGGTGCTGGGATTACAGTTGTGTGTCCCCACACCCTGCTTCTGAAGGGCCCTTTTCCCCCATCATCCCACAGTGCTCACGGAATTAATCTTGTTCTCTGTTCAAATGTTTTATTCTCAGAAAGGCCATTTAAAACACAGCTTCTTGGGGCTGGAGAGATGGTTGGGTGGTTAAGGACAGCCACTGCTCTCCCAGAGGACCTCATTCAGTTCCCTGTACCGACATCAGGTGGCTCACAACCACCTGTAGCTACAGTTCTAGGGGATCCGATGCCCTTTGGGCTCCATGGACATCCGTATGCACGTGGTGTGCATAAACTCATGCAGGCTAAATAAACGAATCTTTAAAAAATGAAGTCCTTTTGGCTCCCCAAAACACTGAGACACAGGTGGCATCAGCAGACAAGGCCCACAGACATGTGACCTGCCATTGTAGCATCCCTCCCTCACAAGGATCCAGGCAGAGAAAGCACTGAGTCCCAGCTTCGGAGTTAGACTGGCTTATGTTTGAGTCCTGTCTCCTTCACAGTTTTTTTTTTCAGCAAAATTATGTAACAGGGCTGAGCTTCAATTTCATCATGTGCAAAATAGGGATAATAATATCTTCATCATGGGGTTGTAGGAATAAAATGAGATCATGCATGCCAAATGCTTAGCACAGTGATCAGCATGGAGTAAGAACTCAACGGCGGCGGCAGCTATTATTAGAATTAATTAAGCAGAGAACTTTAAAGGAAGTCAATCAGAGGGCTCTTTTTGGCTGGAGATAGATGGATAGCAAATCCTGCCACATGAGAGCTTAGCCGAAGCAGGGTAGCAGTGACCTTGCTGGGGGCATGTGCCTTCCCTTTCTTGCTGTGGAGACCCTTTGAGGACTCCTGGGATGGGATAACAAAGGCCCTCCCCAGCCTCGGGCTCAGGAAAGCAACTTAAAGAGGTAAAGACAGGGCCCTGCCATGGTCACCAGCTCTTCAGACTCAGGGGTCCCTGGTCTGAGAGTCTACATCCCAGATGAACCTTCCGTTGGAGGAAGGGATGGGGAGAAGAGACCAAGGTGCAGATGGGGAAGCTGAGTCTACTGGGCCTGGTAGAGGAAGGAGACTTTGATGATACCTACCCCCAAAGCCTGTCCTTGTGTCTCTCTGAGTAACAAACCACAGAGAGAAGCAGAGCTGGAGTCATATCTATGGCGGGCCCCGTTACAGAGCGAGACCTGGTACAGAGGGAGGCACCCTTCAGTAGGCACCAGGAAAGGGGCTTCTTTCTGCCAACTCTTTGCTTCTCTTTGGTCACTCCTCATTTCCATGTGGCCAGTCTAACCTATCTGGAATACTACGGTTTTTTTCATTATCCTATGACAGAATTTACAAGAGCCTGTGGCCATCTGTGTTTCGACCCATCTTTCGAGGCCTCAATTGTCTTTTTTTTTCTAGAGGAAAGGAGTGAACTGATGGTTAGGGCTGATGCCCTGGGTGTGAGTCTGTCATTTTAGGCCAAGCTCCTTGAAGGCGCCCCATCCTTGCCCACTTCTCTCCCACAAACGTAGACTCTGACCGCTCACATCAGGCCTGCGGTGGTCTTAGACAGTCTCCTTGTATGCATGGCCTGTGCACTGTCTACTCTTCTATTCCTATCTGGGGGATCTGCTTTGGCCCTGCTTCAAAGCCGTGGAGCTAAAATAGAATGACTAAGCATAGAGGCTCTAATATAAATAAACCTAATTTTGACTCTACTTCACAACTCACTATCAGGGTAATCTAAAGAAAATCCCATTGATAAAATAGAAGCAACAGTAAATACAGGGCTGGGAGCAGTAACTGAGATACTGTGTGTGATGGATGGAGTACAGGGCCCAGCATAAAATAAGTGTTCAGTAAAAACCAATGACTATTGCGGTTAGTATAGAAGCTTTTCCAGTCTTCTCTGCCAGGCACAGACGCAGCTATATGTTTATCCTGAATCTTAGAGTGATAATATGTCTGCCACTCTTAGCTCTAAGAGCTGAGCACATGCCACACTAGCCTTTGTGATTCTGTGTGTGCAGCATCTTGTCACCTCAAGAGTTGTCTTCTCTTAAGTTCTTGGGAACAAGAGATCATGATATGTATCAACTGCCCAACTTCTAGATTCACAATGATGCAATGGCTGGATAGTGTTTATGCTAGTGAAGAAGTTCTCCCCAGAATCATATTGTTAGTAGCTAAAACTATAAGTTTCCTAGAAGAAAGCTTAAAGGAAATACATTATGAAATTGGAATTAGCAGTGAATTCCTGGGTAGCACACTAAGGACAAAGGTAGGAAAATTAAAAATTGACAAACTGGATTACATCAAAATTAAGGGATTTTGGACACCAATGGGCACCATCAATAGGGTGGAAAGTAGCATAATCCCAGAATGGTATAATGTATTTGCAAATGATCTGTCTGATGGGAGCTGAGGATCCAGAGCATGGAACAAAACAAGCAACCCAATTTAAAAGTGAGCAAAGAGCTCAGGTACAGATTTCTCCAAAGAAGGTATCCAATAGCACGCAAACCTGCTCACCATTGGACACCTGAAAATCAAACCCACAAGAAGACGCCGCTCCATGTCTATTGGAATCAAGTCCTATAAGAAAGGAGAGGTGATGCTTTGTGCAAGCCCATGGGAGACTGTCCCTTTCTGAATGGATATGGAGGAGGAGTGGGTACGGAGGGGAGTAGAGAGAAAAGGGGAGGGGACAGGAGGAGATGAGGGAGGGGAAACTGATCGGTATGTAAAACAAATGAAAAAATGTTATTTAAATAAAAAGAAAAGAAAGGAAGGAAGAGGGGGAGGGGATGTGGGAGTGGAGGGGAGGATATTGCTTAGATGCAAGAGTGTACATGTGCTTAGCCATGTTTTTTTTTTGTTGTTTGGGTTTTTTTAGGGTAGGTGAAACCCTGGCTTCCATCTCTGGCACCAAAACTGAGAATAAAAAAAAAAGTAACTGAAAATATCAAGCATTGGCAAAGTGTTGAAGAAACTGTAATACTTATACACTGCCTGTGGTATTAAAACACGGAATAGCCATTATGAAAACAATATGGTAGTTTCTCAAAGTCTTAGAAATTGAATTTCCGTATGATTCAACAATCCCTCCTCTGGATATATATATCCAGTAATTGTAAACAAGGACCTGAACAGATAATGTGTATGTTCATATCCATAACAGTATTCACAGTAGACAAAGGTGACCCAAGTGTTCGCTGACACTGTCCCATCTCGAGACAAAGGCAATTCTGACTCACCGTGAAATGTGGATGGACCCTGAAGACGTTAAGCTGAGTGGAGTAAGCTGGTCACTAAGACCAGAAGCTATGACTTTGCTCTTAGGAGGTGCTTGGAGGATTCAAACCCAGAAAGCCAGACAGTAGACTGACGCTGAGGTGGGAAGTTACTGTTTTAGATCCAGCGTTTCACTTGGGGAAGATTAAAAAGACAGGCCCTGGAGAAAGATGGTGGGTGACGATTGCACAGTTATGTGAATGTGTCCAATGTCTCTGAACTGTGCACTTGGGAGTGGTTAAATGGTAGATTTTGTGTGTATTTACCATAAAATTTTATATGTGTTTTACTACACTCACAAAGAAGCCTGGTGAAAGTTAACAGCCATTCCCTAGCTGCACATCTGTCCCACAGGCAGAATTTTCTATATGGTGTCAGGGAGCTCACAGCCTTCTTAGGCTTCATGGTCCCTTTTAACATCCCCAGTACTACAGTGAAGCTAGACCCATGAGCTGTGAGATCCTCCTCAGGTACCTCAACGATCACCTCTGGCCTCAGGATTTTTGAAACTGTGGCAGTCCCCAAATCCCTGACAGCCCTCTTTGTGGAAGCCTGCTTGGCTCTGAGGCTGGAGAGCAGTACTTTACTTTGGTCATTATACACAACCATTCATTCCATAACCCAACATCTGTCTGACCACCGAGCCTCCATTCATGGGCGTGGTGGGAGGGAGTCACCTAGACATCCATACTTTTTAAAGCCTGGTAGATCATAGCCCCTCTGAAGGCAGCAGGGCTGAAGAGAGACAGATCCTCTCCCCACACTTTCAGGCTATTGCAGGAGCAGTTTCAAATCAGATCTCACAAAGAAAGTAGCATCAAAAAATACTCCATTTGTATTTCCTGTGTGGCCCTCCATCGGGAAATATCTTTTATCTGGTAACTTTTGCAAAGTAGATTGAATTTTGAAGGAGACCCCTCCAGGTTTACGCTGGCCTCCCTATCACTCCATAAGTCACTTCCATCCTAACCTTCACGAGGTCACACCGTGGTGACTTGGGATGGGAAACAGACCAGCACTAAGCAGCAGCCGGTCTTTGGAAACATGAGGTATCTTTTTTAACCCCAAACAGCCACCTGGAAGGCAAGAGTGAAGTCTGGCTGATGACCATACACAATTGTACACACTCTGCACCAACTCAAATAAGTTCCTTTCATAGGGAAGTCCTTTGCACACCACACCCTCCAGGACCAACTACAGCAAAACATACATGCCTTTGCAGGACAAAACGCCAAACTCAGACCTCACTTTGGAAATTTCCATGTTACGACCATTAGGCTGTGCCTGGCTCCCAGCACTGTTCAGAACTGAACCTAAGAGCATCTGGTAAGTACTATTGAGGGAATGAAAGATCGAACTAGTCAAACATGTCTTACCTGCCTCACCACAAGCCACTGCAGATCCAGGGAGAAAATGCCTTCCTTCCAGAAGAAGACAGAAACTCAGTTTAAGTAGCCCAGAGAACAGAAAAAGAGTATGTTTGCCTGGGTGGTGGTTTGGGGGGTGGGGCTTATCTTCAGTTGGAGAAATGTTTCCTCAGGTCCTTGATAAAGCAGGGAATAGTGTCCCCAGGGCTTCTGATAGCAGACAAGTGTCCTTGATAGTGGATAGGGACTGGGTGGGGCAGCTCAGGCTTCAGCATGGGCGAAGAGATGGATTCTAACGGTTTCTTTGCTGTTAAAAGGCTGCTTCCTGCCCAGTTTTCTCCCCTCCTACCAGTTGGGCTTGTTAAAGGAGAGGTCCCTTCTTCAAACACCCAGGCGCTCAGAGCTGGATGTTCCGGCCAGCCTGAGGAAGCCAATGCACTCTCTTACAACCTTCTGATTCTCAGAAATCCTCCAGGAATTGAAAAGTCAAATAACTCCCTACCTGACAGGAGAGGAAATGGGACAAAGCCCTTCCAAATGGAAACTTTAAGCCCGCCTCAACTAGAGTCACAGGTCACTGTCTCACTAGACTCTGGCATTCTGGCTGACTCACGGTTTGTTTGTTTGTTTTTTCTGTGTCTCTTAGTTTCTTTTACTGTTGCTGTGATAAAACATGAGAAAAAGCAATTTAAGAGAGAAAGGGTTATTTAGTTCGCAGTTCCAGGATACAGTCATGGTGGGGAAGACAAGGGACCAAGAGCTTGAAGCAGCTGGCTACATTACACAGCATGTAAGAAGGAAGCAATGAATATACAAGTGCTACTCAGCACCCTTTATCCATTTAGATAGTACAGGATCGCAGCCAGGCAACCTCCCCACCCACAGTGGACTAAGCCACTAATCCACTAGTCCGCATCCATTAATGCAATCAAGACAATCCCCTACAGGCTTTCCCAGAAGCCCATCCTCTAAGTGATTCTAGATTCTGTCAAGTTGATGGCATTACCATCCTAACTCTGTTTGCAGGTGACTGTGGAGGCCAGAGGTTGAAGCTGGCTGTCTTCCTTTCTTGCTCCGTTGATTGACAAGACTGTCTGGCATTTGTCTCCAGCAGGCATGTGCTACCATATTGTTTCTTTGGTGAATGCTGAGTTTCTAAATTTGGGTCCTCACTGAACCATCTCCCCTATCCCACAAGGAGGTCTTCTGACACTTTATTTTGCAAAAGGAAGGACTTCATGAAGTAAAACTTAAGAAAGAGGCCATATTATCTAGGAAGTAGCATTTGCTGAGTTTGGCTTTGAGTTCTTCAGACAAAAGATTGCATTTATTAAAAAACATTTACCTAATGCTGCAAACAATTGCCTTGTTTTTTTCATTGAGAATCTATTTATTCACCAGGCGGGTTTTTAATGTCTTGTCTTACTTAATCCCTGGCAGTCTTCTGCAATCAGTGGTAGTTGTATTGCAATTTTTTAGCTGGGAAAACTGAAAGTCAGAGAAGTTTATTCACAGACACCCAGAATTGCAGATGTGCCTGAGATGGAATTTAAGCCCAGGTTTCTTGACTCTGCTATGCTCCAGTGCTCTCTCCTGTTTAAAGGCATTGATGGTCAAAACACCACATCTGAGACAGTGACTGTAAGTGGGAAGTTTATTCTGATATGAGCATAGGCATCAAGGGGAGTCTGTGGGTGAGGAGTCCCCTGAGAACAGGGTTTCCTGACATTTGGAAGAGTATGAGGAGTAGAGGAAGTCTCTATGAAATCCTGAGTGAATGATTCGACATGGGCACAGCCATGTAAAGAACCCCAGTGCTTCAGATCCACGGGAGTGGGAAAGCCTTCCCCATGGTGAGGAGGTGAAGCCCAGGGGGATGGCAATGCTGTCCCCTGGTCAATGCGGACAATGCCAACAATGTGAATGTTGGCATTGTGTGCAAAAACTATGATCTGCAGCTTCCTCCTCGGATGACTACGACATGGGACTGCTATCCTACAGAGACCTCCTACTGAGATTAGCTAGCCCTTCTCCCTCTGCAATACATAATAAGAGCTCTGAAGGTCCAGGTTCATGTTGAATAGTAAATGCACCCCCTTGGCATGATCCCAGCTTTTCTGTGAATGTGTGTCTGTGTGTCTGTGTGTCTGTCTTTTCTTCATTCCCTTACCACCCCTGTTAGGTTTCCAGGACCAAGCTACGTAGGACACAGCAGACGAGAAAGAGAGCTTGGCTCCAGGGGTGCAGATGACAGACAGAAATGCAGGCTGAGACCAGAGACCAGACAATCTGTTCTGGAGTGAGTCTATCAAAAAGAGAAACGATAGGGCTGGAGATATGGCTCAGAGTTTTAGAGCATTTGTTGCTCCTACAGAGGACCCAGGTTTAGTTTCCAGCACACTCATAGTGGCTCACAATTGTCAGTAACACCAATTCTAGGGGACTCAGCATTGCATTCTGGTCTGCAGGCACCAAGCACACACATGGTGTGTGTGTGTGTGTGTGTGTGTGTGTGTGTGTGTGTGTGTGTGTGTGTGTGTGCGCGCGCATGCAAACACAACTTCACATAAAATGAAACTTAAGAAAGCCAAGTAAAAGGTGAAAGTGTGAGCACCTTGCACGAGGCTTCCTAGGTAAAACAGACTTGGAAGAGCTGGTGTAGCTGATGGTTGCTGCCTTGGTGGACATTAGCAGTTTGGAGTTGTCATTTTGCTGTGAGCAACTTTGTGCCCCATGCTTAATCTCTCCACACTTCACTCTCTAGCATTCAGCTCACCATGCCAAGATTCTTGCTAACACAACTCACATGCAGATGGTACCAACACTAGGTAGCCATCTTAGTATATGAAATCTCCCTAAAGGCAGGAGGACCCTGAAACAATGTCATGTCAGGCTGAAGAAGACATCCAAGTCTTAGAGAGTTCAATCTACTGCATATAAAATTTGCCTTTGACTTGGTAGTACATCTGCTGGGCTATGTGGATCTTTGCGTGAAAATTGTATTCACATAAAGATACACTGTGTGATACCTCTATGAGATACCTGGAGGACTGATGCTCTTCCCCAGGCAGCTGTCAAATCTTCTGTAGCCAGCATATTTGGGCTCTTTGGTAGAAGCATCAAGTTCCATTGCTGTTTGTGTTATGCAGGCTGATAGAACCATGGGTTTTTCTCTGCTGTCTCTGTCAATTTCCTGGTGTGACCATATTGCAAGCCCTTAGTGGTACCTTTCTGACCCACACTTACACACCAAGCAATGGGCAGGAAAGGGGTTGTGACTTCTTCGGACTAGGGTATTGCAAGAGTGCAATTCAATTCCGAAGTGTCAAAATAATGTTAAGGCACTTGTCAGAGTGAGCCGTGTATAGTCTGAGCTTGAGAAGTGGTGAGACCTCAGTAGGAGCTAGCAGACTGGCACAGGTAAACCAGGCTCCTCTGGGACTCTAGCCCCTTAGGTTTGTTTAATATGTGGCGCTCAACAGCATTAGCTGCCCTCTTCAGGCTGCGGAAGATACAAACACTGACATGTGTGTTGGGACTAGATACACAATGGGACTCGGGGCTAGGAGTCAGATTTTACGTCAATGTCCTATCTGGCCCCGCAGAGAGAAGGGCAGAGCCTAGGGGATGTCACCAGTAGCGTCTGTTTTTGATGGTTTGTGGTACAATATGGGAGTGCCTTGCTTATCGGTGGGTGGGGGAGGGGCTGTTCTTGGGAAAGGGTTTATAGGTCCAGCACTTCATGAAGTCCAAGTCTTTGGATGGGGGGGGTTGGTTACAACTCGAATAGTCTGCCTGGAGCCAACCCTGTTCAGGTATATGACATTTGCAGCAGGCCCCCTAGGAGTAGATCTTTGTGCCCTGCAGGGACACTTTGGTATACAGTGTGGATTACTGGGTGGTCTTCCTCTAGGTATGGCAGAGATATGGCTGGGCACCTGCAGCGTGGCTGGTACAGCCTAGGCCAACACAACTATTAAGTCAGCCTCAGATCACAGAGGCATACAAAGATGCACAGAGTAGAACGGACACTGGAGAGGGCACATTTAGTTCTATACTGGGCTCCCAACTGGGTACCCTAATTCTGATAAAAATTAGCTGAAGACAAGAGCGGGTCCGAAAGCTCCAAAGCATTGCCTTTTGTTCGTCCTGATAGCTGCTCAGGGTAACAGAATGCCTCTGGCCTATGGTGTTATAGCAGAAGGGTTATATATTCTGAACAGCTAGGGATGACACTGGGGACCCAATGATGCCCAGGTGTCCTGGCACTGGGTAGGGAAACAGTGTCCCAGACACAGCCATCACCCATATCAGGCAGAGCTGGGTTTTGATAACTCAAAGGCTTACAATCACATTTTCACGTTTAAAGGTTCCATAACAGCATTTGTGGCTGCCCATTCACAAGAACAGGGGACATCTGTGTCCCACTGCTCTGTGCGGCTGTTGGTGCTTTGGCGGGTGTGTCAAGGAGAGCTAGCCTCAGGCATTCTATTTTAGACCACTGGAGTGGGGGACCAGGTTTTCTTTGTCTTCTCCAAGATCTACGAGGTAGTAGGAGTCCCTCCTGGAACCGATCGTTCCGTCCTTCTGTGGGAGAAACCAGTCAGCCTTTAAATCCATCATAACCAGTGGCTGTTTTAGGGGAGGCAGGATCTGGCTTCCAACTTGGTAGAAATACACTGTCATGGATTTGGCTCCTGTCCCTGTGGCCAGCAGGTCCCAGTCATTGTCTGCCCTCAGTCTGGCAGTCATGCATTGTGAAGGGAGCCACACAGGAAAGGGACAGCAGACTGGAAGAACAGAGGCACTTGGACAGAAAAACCATGACTTCCAGCCTGGGTCTCTCTTCAGAACTAGTAAAGACATAATGAGGGTGTTTGTATGGGTGAGGGACTCCCATGGGCAAGAAAAAGGGAGAAGACAGAAGTAAAAGGAATTTGGGAAACCACACCGTTTTGGAACTTTAAGAAAAGATTCGTGATTGTTGTGTCTGTGGTAACACAATGGGAGAGGAGAGCCAGGAATGGCCAGGGACTGTGTCCGCTGTGGGCAGGGTATATGGGGTAAGGTTGGTTTTCCATCACCAGGGCAGTTTCCTCTGTGATTCTGACTGGATTTTCACGTCATGTCCAGTTCTGTTTCTTCGTGACGGTTCGTCTCCAAGGTAGCAGTAGTTATGGGTAGGAAAAGCATCACACTGCAGGAGACCCTGGAGACCAGTCTCCCTGATTGTGATTGAGGAAGAGGAGGAGGTGAAGCTGCCGCAGGGGGGAGCATCACAGGGAAGGGTTGAAGGAAAGAGGCAGGCGACCTGAGATTTGTAAGTGGCAAGGACAGGTGGCACCCTGCAGGACAGGTCACACCAGAACCCAGCAGGTTGGACCACTAGCTGTGATCTCTAGCTGCCACCCTGACTTAGTCAAGCCCATGTGTGCATTATTCTGTGTGTTCCTTACACCAAGCCTGCAGAGTACATGTGACTGGCCTCCTACTTGTGTATGGCACCCATATCCCCCATTTTCCACCCCCTGTGCTGCTACCAGGGAGGCCCTTTTGAAACTCACGTCAGACAATCTCACCCCTCAGTTTGAAGCACTCCAAAGCTTTATCTGCTCAGCCAGAGCAAAAGCCACACTTCTCCAAATCTCCGTGTTGTCGACTCAACCAGAGCTGCGCCCTCTTCTCTGTTCCTTCTCATGGCTTCAGTCACATGGTCACCTTGCTAACCTGATCTCTGGGGCCTTTGCTCTCCCCCTTTTCCCTAGAACTTTCTTCTCAAGATGCCAGTCCTCACGAGAAATGTCTTCCCTGGCCACCGGAATTAGTTACTCACAGCCCTGACTACATCAGCCCTTGTCACTCACTCCATATGAGTTTCTTCCACAGTACATAAAATGACCACCTGGTATACCCCACGCTGCTTGGTTTGTTTGTTTGTTTGTTTGTTTGTTTGTTTTCATGGTCTCTCACCCGCTCTGGTTTGTAAGCTCTGTCAGGCAACAGAATTGTTTCTCTCATTGACATCTGTGTATTTCCACTGCCTGGAACACTCCCACCATGTATTAGATACCCAGTAAATGTTATTTGAATGAATCAGTGCAGCTTGTGGTGTGATCCCAACTTGCTGGAAGGAGAAACAGGTTAGAGAAGGCCACACAGCTGTTCAGGCAGGGCAGTTAGCGGTTGACAAAGCCAAGTTCAAGCCTAAAAATGTCTGACCACAAAGCCAGCCAGTATTCCATACCACCACGGAGTTTTACACACTTGTCACTGAGAAAGGGAGTCAATAATAAACAGAAATGGAGACATGGAACAGGTTTGGGTGACACAGAGGACAGATGACAAATTT